TTTTCCACATAGTTTTTCAGTATTTTTCTGGCTATTCTTGTGTATTTGCCCATATGAAAGTTAAAGTGTTTGTTGATATTTTATTGGGATTGGACTGAAACTTAACTTACAATTGACATTTTTATATTGTTTTGTCAACCTATCCAAGCATAGGTAACATCTTTAAATGATCTAGTTTTGTGATTTTTCAAGAGTTTTCAAAAGATTTCCTCATATAGGTTTACAGAAGTTTTAGGTTTTGTTCACACAAGGTTTTATACATTTCTTGTTAAAGTTGTTCCTACTTAATCTTTAGTGTTATTTTAATTGGTGGCTTTCTTCTATGATGTCTTCTACATAGTTATTATTTGAGTATTGCGAAGACTTTTTGTATATTTTTTATCCTATTTTCAGAATTCTTTTATTGTTTGAATTACTTGTATCATTGATTCTCTAGACTCTTCCAGGTATATTGTTGTATCATCTGCAAATAGCTATTTTACTTCTTTTTAGGAATTCATATGCTTGCATTTATTTATTTATTATTTATTTATTTATTATGTTCAGTTAGCTACTGCATAGTACATAATTAGTTTTTAATGTAGTGTTCTGTGATTCATTAGTTAAGTATAATGCCCAGTGCTCATCACAGCACGTGCCCTCCTCAATAACCATCACCCTGTTTCCCCCTCCCCCCACCCTTCTCCCCTCTGAAACCCCCAGATTGTTTCTCAGGGTCCATAGTCTCTCATGGTTCATCTTCTTCTTAATTGATTTCTCTTAATTGTATTAGCTGATACCTCTAATATGTAGTAGTATTAGGGATGGTAGTAATAGTGGGCATTTTGCTTTGTTTGTGATCTTAGTGGAAATGCCTCTGGTGTTACTTTAGTAGGATACTGTCTTCAGGACTATGATACGTGTGTATATATGTAGGTTTGTATGTATGTATTATCATTTTAAGAAAAATGTCCATTAAATGAAATTTCTTTGAATACTTTTATCATGATTAGGTACTGAATTTTGTCAAAGGATTTTTTAGTATTTATGGAGATATTGATAGGGTTTTTCTCCCATTTCATCTATTAGCACAGTTCATTATATTAATAGATTTCCTAACATTGAATCAATCCTGGGTTCCATAATAAATTTAATTTGGTCATCTTATTTTATTACATGATGTTGGATTCCGTTTGCTAATATTTAAAATAGTATACTTTTGCATTGTTATTTATAAATAATATTGGTCTATAGTTTTCTTGCATTGTGTGTTTTTTGCACTATCTTTATTCAAGTTTTAGTATCAGTTTTGGTATCAGACTTCCTTCATAAAAAAGAATTACGAAGTGTTTTTTTGTTTTCAGTGCTTTGCAGTAACTTATAGAGTCTTGGAACTGGTAGAAGTTTGGTATGATTACTGTATGAAACCATCTTGGATGGTGCCTTTCTATGGGTTAGTTCTTGATCACTTTGTCTATTTTATTTTTTCAGAAATTAGTTTCTCTAAGCTTTCTATCTCTAATGGGGTCAATTTTAGTAATCTGTATTTCTCTAGGAAATTACCATTTCATCTGGATTTTCAAATATATTTTTATAGAGATTTGTAAATTAGTTTCTTAGGAATTTTAAGTATTTTTTCTATTTCAATAGTTATTCCTCCCTTGTCATTTTCTATTTTATAAATGTCTATGTTTTTTCTTGATCAGGTTAGCTAGTGGTTTATCTATTTTTTAAATTCTTTAAAAATCTAGGATTTTGTTTTCTTAGGCCTATGTTTTTTTTTTAAATAATGTACCTTATTAATTTCATCTTTTAATACTACATTTCATTCTTCCTGCTTTCTATTTTGTTGTACTTTTTAAAATATTCTGTTGAACTATAAATTTGTTGACTTATATCTTTATTGATAAATGCTGTGTTTTTAATGTAGTACCATGAATTTAGTACTGTGAATTTTCCTGTGGTCTGTATTTTAAGTATAATCCACAGACTGTTATATGTAGAGATTTTGTTTTTATTTGTTAGAAATTATGTAATTTGCATGTTTTCCCTCTTTTGCCCAGGTGGAAGTGCTTTTTGTTTTTTTATTTTGTTAAATGATTTCTAGTCTTATTACACTGCAATCTAATAGTGTTGTTTATAACACATATACTTTATGGTACTCACTGATGTTTTCTTTGTGACCTAATACATGATCAATACAAACTAGATTTGTTCTCTATTAAAAAGGTAAAATGTTTGAAATTCATTCATAACGTCTACTTCATTGGTTATGTTCATTAGGTCTTCTTTGTCCTTACTCTCCTCCTCAACATTTCGTCTGTCTTTTAATGAGAGTGGTTTACTGAAGTCTACTAATTGTTAATATATTTCTGTCTCCTTGCATCTCTTGTCTTTGCTTCATTAAAGTATTGCTTGTTATTTGGTGTGTAAATACTCATAGGACATATGACTGATCGGTAATGTTGTCTTTATTATGGTTGTTGTTTTTAGCAGTAAATTTTACCCTTTTTTGTTTAATGCAGACTATCCCTCACTGCTTTCTTCTTGCTTCCCTTTTTTTGTCCATCCCTTTAGTTTTAGCCATTTAGAATCACTTCCTTTTAGATATACTTTTTATATACCACACTGAGATGTAATTATCTTTTGCTGTCTGAGCCAAATTGAAATCTTTTTCTTTTAATAGATGATTTAATCCCATTCACATTTACTGATTTAACTAAAATGTTTGGTTTCAGTTCTCAAATTATTTTATAATTATGTGTATTGTATATTTACTATGTTTCTTTCTCTACCTAAGGATACTCTTTGGAGTTTTATTTTTAAATTTAGAAAGGTATATATTTTTGTTCTAGTGGGTACCTGTGTACTTTTTATTATCTGGTTTGTCAAGCTTTTTTTTTTCTTTTAAGATTTTATTTTTAAGGAGTCTCTATACCCAACATAGGGCTCGAACTCACAACCTGGAGATCAAGAGTCACATGCTTTTCCAGCTGAGTCAGCCAGGTGCCCCTGATTTGTCAAGATTTTAATGGTATCCTGTAATACCTACGTACTGCCTGAACAATAGTCATCGACATTGAGCTCACTTTTCTTCTTCTTTCTTCCTGTCCTTTTCCTTCCATTTAAAAAGTGCATTATTTCTACTTTGTCTCAACATATAGCATTTGTACATTAATTTTTCACCCTTTTCCCCATCCTTGTAGGGTGTAGAGATGGAAAACTAATATAATCTCTGTTTTTATTTATTCAAATTCTTACCATTGGTCTTACTGCTGAAGTACTCCTAGTCATCTCTTGATCGGATGAAACTTATCCACTATTAGATTTCTTGAGGGCTAATATAGTATAGAATTCCCCACATCTTGTATGTTTAAAACTGTTTTACTAGAACCTTAATATTTGAGGCACATCTTGGCTGGATATAAATTTTTGGTCCATGCTTTTATTGAGTTTTAGAAAAATGCTCTTTCTTTGCTTTGCATGCTGTTTTTAAGAATTCTAATGGGAATATAATTCTTTTGTCCTTCTAAATATATAGGCCTTGAGATTTCTTTTTTATATCTTTGACATTTGATAGTTTTACTCGGCTAATTAGTTAGCTAATGATATGAGACAAATTACTTTAAGAACTTAGTGGCTTAGGGGTACCTGACTGGCTCAGTCAGAAGAGCATGCTGTTCTTGATATCAGGGTCATGAGTTCAAGCCCCATGTTGGGTGTAGAGATTACTTAAAAAAATAAATAAACTTTAAAATATATTTTAAAGAAGTCAGTGGCTTAAAAGCAACAGTAAATATATGTTAACTCAAAGTTTCTGTGAATCATGAACTTGGGAGCTCCTTTGCTGGTGGTCTGGTTTGAGGTTTTAGTAAAGCTGTTGGCTGGGACTATAGTTATCTGAAGGATTGAGTTGGATCTGCTTTTAAGATGACTTGCACACATACTGGCAAGCTGGTACTCAGTTCTTCATATGAGCTTCTTCATAGAGCTGCTTGTTGTCCTTAAATGCTATGATGGTTAGCTTCCCCTAGAGTAAGTAATCCAAGAGAGCAAAATGGAAGCTGTACCGTCTAGCCTTGGTTTTAGTTGTTTTGGGTGACAGGCTAATTTAGTCCCTATTACACCATCCTTGTTGGAAACAGAAATCTCTTGGCCATTATTTCTTTAATAATTTTTATGTCTCATCCTGTTTTTTTGTCTTCGTGGTACTTCAGTTATGTATATGTTTGGCCTTTTAGGGTGTGGAATCTATTATTTTGCCCTGAAGAGCATCGATATTTTATCAGTCAGCTTGGCTGAACTCAAACTCTAAACTTTGTCTTCCTGTAGTGGACAGTAACTCAAATCTCTGTTCGGTTGTTTAGACTTTTAACTGGCTACTTGGAGTCTGCCCACACTTGCATAGATTAGAGGTCAGCCAGATATTTGGGCAGAATTTATATGAAGAATTTGGGGTTCTCCTTCTCTGGATCTCTCATTTCTGGACTTTCTCCAATTGTTTTATATCTCTTGCAGTCATTCTGAGCTCTTTTTCAAATTCTGCCTGTCAATAAACTCCAGGTTTTTATCCAAGTTTTTAGTTAACCCCTTTCAGTTTCTCCTTTTGGTCACTCTCCAGTTCCTTCAATTATTTTGTCCAGAGTTCATATTACATAGGAGGATTTGTTTTTAATGAAAGTTTTATGACACTATTTTAAAAGGTTTCTGCTTGATGAATCTGTCTTAGTGAGGCCTTCTCTAATTATGCTATTTAAAAATTACAGAACCACCCCTCTCCTCCTGGTGCTTCATTTTTGTACACAACTCTTATCAGTTGACGTAGAATGCATTTTAACATTTGCTTGTTTTCTGATTTCCCCAACTAGAATGTAAGCTCTAAGACAGCAGGTTTATTTCCCTCTTGTTCAGTGCTATTTCTTCAGTTCCTAGAAGAGATCAGATTAATGCTTAGTAAATATTTCTGTATGCATGAATGAATCAATGCATTTATTTATTTCTTTTCCTGCATCCTTACATAGTGCCCGAAAGGCAGTTGATGAGGAAGAGGAAGCAGTTGAAGAACGTCGGAATATGCGAACTATTTGGGTGACTGGCAGAAAAGGTTTAACTGAAAGGGAAGCAGCAGCCCTTATTGTGGAAGAAGCCAAAATGATTCTGCAGCAGGACTTAGTCGAAATGGGAGTGCAATGGAATCCATATTCCCTTTTAAATTCTGATACACACTCACTGACCAGCAGTGAGTCAGAAGTAAAGGAACAGAAATTTATACCCCAAACTAAAAGATCTTGTAGAAGATTAACAGCAAAGCAAAAAAGTAACTCGGTGTTTAGGGATTCTTCTGCTAAGCATTCACCAAATACTGTGCAAGATTTAGAGAAAAGTGGAGAGCGTACAAATTCCTTTTATGATAAGTTACAGAATGGGAATCAAGAACGCCAGGCACATTCCATTTCCAGAGCAAGAAAACGGGCTTCTTTGAATATAAGTAAAGAAAAGCTAAGAACCTCTCTGAATGAGGGAAGAACATGCACTAAGAAAGTTGTTCAGACTCTCTTATTTGAGAAAACAAAAAAAGAAGCTCTGAGTTTCAGTTCAGGAAAGATGAGTACTGCCTCTGGATCTTGGAAACATAGTAAACGTGTAAAACAATCTAGACACAGTAGCCCTGTGAAAGACACTGGGATGTATAGAATTGATTTACAGGAACAGACTATATCTAATCCTGTTTATTGTGGAGACTCATTTACCTTAGATGAGAAGAATGTGGAATTTAGAAGTCCAGAGCCTTTTGCTAAAAATGTATCTTCCTGTGCTGAGGGAAAATATAGCAAAGCATCATTCTCATCACAAAGAGAACGAAGTTCAAAGAACAGAACAAAAACTAATGATATTCTTGTGGAACATTTTATCACACAATCCCAGAGTAAAAAAGTGACTTGTCAACCTACTAGTATGGTTAGTGAAAATGGAAGAGGATTTGCCGTTGTTGAGTTAGAAAAAATAAACACAGTCCTGATGGTACAAAATGATTCAAAAAACCAGGATGTTTATGTAAAACACGACACCCACTCAATTAACCAGTGCCCAGAAAAACAGTCTGATAAACACACAAACACTTACACCAAACAGAAAAAAATAGTAGAGAGACAAATGCCCTGTGAGACAGGCAGTAGTTATATGAATAGAGACTCAAATGTTATTATCAAGTGTGGAAGTATGAAGTTTAATGGTGAGGAAAATAAATCAAATAACTTTCAGGTATCAGGAGATAATATAAGTAGCGCTGAGATACTCAGAATACATCTCCCAACTGGAGAATCAGGAGGCCAGCAGGAGAATTTTCTAAATACCTCTAGAATACAAGAAAAAACAGAAGCTTATGCAGCAAACAAAACTAAGAATAATTGTGTTTCTGACTTAGGTTCAGTTCCTTGTGAATTTGAAGATAGTTTCTACCTGGATACTCAGTCAGAGGAAATAATACAACAGATAGCAACTGAAGATGCCAAACAAGGAGCAAAGGATACCAACCTGGCAACAGGGACGATGCAGAAGAGCTTAGACAACCAGAGTTCGGTACGCTCTTTTCAGAATGAGATTCATATTACTTTTCCTGGTGAACGACATTCTCCAGGAGTGACAAATACAGATCATTTGGAACTTAAGACTGTAGATACTATGAAACAAGGCACTGATTCACATGAGGTTGGTATCCTGACTCCAGAAAGCTCAATTTTTCATTCCCCAATACTCTTGAGGGAAAATGGCCCTTGTCTTAAAGGGAATGAACTTTCTGTCACCGACTCTCAATTAAATAGTTTTCTTCAAGGTTATCAAACACAAGAAGCTATGAAGCCAGTTATACCTCTGGTTCCTCAAAAGAGAACTACCACTGGTATAGAAGCAGAATGTCTGCCAGTTCCTGAAACAAGTTTGAATTTGAGTGATAGTTTACTATTTGACAGTTTCAGTGAAGACTACCTAGTAAAAGAACAACCACCTGATATACAAGTGAAAGAACCCCTCTCTTCTGCACTAACATCAAACCATTTCAGTCATTCTATGTGTCTGCAACCAGAGGGCCCAATTAGAAAATCAAATACAAATGAGAATCAAGATAATCAGCAACAGTTCTCTTGTTTCAGTGATGAGTCTATTATATTTTCAGAAATGGATTCTGCTCAGATGGTTGAAGCTTTGGACAATGTAGAAATATGTCCTGTCCAAGAGAAACGGAATACTGCAGTGTCTCTTAGAGAATTAGAATTAAGTGATCCAGTGACTGTAGGTAATGATTATCCACAAAGAGAAGTAATTGGAGGAGATAAAGATGAAAGGTCTCAAAAACCCAAATTAACTGAGACAAGGGAAAATAATTCATTGATATGGTCAGGGGCATCATTTGATTTAAGTCCAGGACTGCAGAGAATTTTAGACAAAGTGTCCAGTCCTCTAGGAAATGAAAAGCAAAAATTAACCACTACAAACTTGTCTAGTTTGAAAGGAAAAAATACAGAGGTAAATGACAAACAAAAAGTGATTTCAAATGTGGAGCCAAATCAAGTTCAGGGTATCTCATTTTCCCCTAGTATTGAAGTAGAAAGCAAGATTAGGGCGCTGGAGACCAATGGCCTTCAGGCTGAAACCTCATCTCACTTGCCTTGTAAAGAAAATTGTATAGTTGATGATAATGGACTCATTCCTCCTACACCTATTCCAGCATCTGCTGCTAAGCTGATATTTCCAAGTATTCGTGGAACATCTTCTGTAAAACTTTGGAAAACACATAGTGTTTTACAGCTTGGTGAAAGTTACTCATTTGGCTCATCTTCAAATATTAAAAACCAAGATTTAACTTCAGAGAGTAGAAACGGTTTAAAAGAGGACAGTCCTATTAGAGACACAAGTTTTTCACTGCAGTTATCACAGGATGGATCGCAGTTAACTCCAGCCTCGTTCAGCCCAGGAAGTTTGGCCATAATTGATGTAGCAAGTGACCAAACTCTCTTTCGGACATTCATTAAGGAGTGGCAGTGCAAAAAGCGATTTTCCATCTCACTGGCTTGTGAAAAGATCAGTAATTTGACATCCTCTAAAAGTGCTGCTATTGGTGGTAGGTTTAAGCAAGGTAAGAATTTTTTTTTAATTTTTCATATTCTCATGTTTATATGTAAAATAGTGGGTTGGGATGGGCCTGAGCCATTTCAGTCTTGGATATGAAATGTAATAAATTTATTCAGAGTTTAAAGTTTCTTCTATGTGGGTTTACCTGTAGAACAGCCTATTGTTGAGAGCAACTAGATTAATAATAGTTGCCATCTGGTATAAGGGATGGGTGACTCCAGGATGTGGGTGTGAGAGCCAAGCACTGAGAAAAAAGCTCAAGCTGGGCTACTGAACTGATGCAGACCACCAAGGCACTCCTCATTCACCTGGCTCTGATCCACTGTTGTAGCTGTGGTCTAATCAGGCGTGTGTTTGCCTCTTTCTTCATAAGCCACGGATCCCACCTAAACAGCCTTTCTAGAGTAGATCCCCGCACTAGGTGGTCCAAAGGGAGTTCCAGACCAGTTCTTTTCTCTCAGGACAAGGACATAGCAGCCAAGCTTATTGCTGCTGCAGCCACCACAGTTGTGGCTGGCTCGGGGGGCCAGCACCGGAACAGTGTTTGGCATCTTGACCATTGGGTGTATCAGGAATCCATCTCTCAAACGGCAGCTCTTTCTTGAGTGCTATTCTGGACTTTGCCCTGTGTCAGGCCATGGAGCTCTTCTATTTGTTGCCTTCCTAATCCTTTTCATTTTATGAGACTTCACAGAGGTCACCTATCTGTCGCTGCTTCTTCAACTCCAGGCCATATCTGGTGCTAGAGTATGCTAAGATTTACCATTAAACATGATGTTTCTCTTTAAGAAAATCATATATATATATATGTGTGTGTGTGTGTGTGTGAGTGTGTGTGTATGACATATATGATTTATATATGATTATATATATTAATATTCGAATATAAGTTTGTAAAAACTAAAATATATATTTTGAACAAAGATTGCCTTTTTTTGGTATCTTAATGATATAGCATCATGGTTTTTATTAATCATCAGTGCTCATGAATTATTTTCTATTAAATTGTAATATCCTTATTCACTTATATAATCACAAAAGTACATAGAAAAATGACTATATTTTAAACAATGTACATTAACTACATTTTTCAGTACTTATCTCAAGTTGTACCTCCAACTGATGTCCATGAATCTTATGCCAAAATGTTGACCCCAAAGCCTCATAGAGTCCTTCCATGTTTTAAGAGACTTAAACCTTTTGTTAAATAATGCTACATATGTATATTCCTGTCTTACTTCATGACAATAAGGATTTTGTATCATGGGGAATAGCTGTAGTCAGCTTGACAACCTGCTGTGGAAAGCAAAGATTTGATCAGATTTCTTAAATCTCTGTATTTATGAATGGATTTATTCATAAAAGTTTGAGTATTTGATCTTCAACTCATGGAACATGTGTTTGGTTTTTAATTTTTTTTATTTGAGTATAGTTGACACAATGATATATTAATTTCAGGTGTACAACATAGTGATTTGACAAGTTTATACATTACACTATGTTCACCGTGAGTATAGCTACCATCGGTCCCCATACATTGTTATTACAGTGTCATTGACCATATTCTTTATGCTGTGCCTTTTATTCCCATGACTTATTCATTCCATAACTATCTCCCACTCCCTTTCACCCATTTTACCCAACCCCCCACCCTTCCCTTCCCTCTGGCAACTGTCAGTTTATTCTCTGTATTTATAGGTCTGATTCTGCTTTTTGTTTGTTTATTCATTTGTGTGTTTTGTTTTAGATTCTACATAAGAAGTGAAATCATATGGTATTTGTTTTTCTCAGTCTGATTTATTTCACTTAGCATAATACCCTCTAGGTCCATGTTGTCTCACATGGCAAGTTCTCATCCCCTTTTATAGCAGCGTAACATTTAATTGTATATGTGTACCACATCTTCCTTATTCATTTGTCTATCAATGGACACTTAGGTCATAGAGCACATGTGTTAATGACAAGTTTTATGTACTTTTTGTGTTGACTAGTACTCTCCATTTTTCATTCAACATACATAAAACTGAGAACAGTCTCTGTGCTAGGGGTTAGAGGGATAAAATTGTTCACTTAAATTTAACAAATATGTGCCATTTATTTTCAAGATATTGGGGATCTAATTGCAAATAAGATAGACTGGTTTTTGACCTGTATCTGTAAAGTTGGAGATGCCTGATTTTAGAACAAATGTGGACTCTAGATACAAAAATCATACCTGATTCTTTACCAAGAAGTAAGATGCTTGATTTTCTGGAATGTCTTAGTGTTAAGAATTGCTGAAGTCACTACAAAATTTTTGTAGCGTGCAAGTGGTCTTTATTTCTGTTTGAGTTATAGCAATTCAAAATGCAGCTTTAAAAAAATTTAGTTAACCATTTTAGTCATTATTACAGATCTATTTTAAGATATATTTGGTAAATTTTTCATAGTGACAGTTATTTTAATAGATGGGAAGCCTAGAAAGATCTTACATATACTTAAAAATGACCATCCAAATAATGATATTATAGGGATCTGGAAATTTTGCAAAATAATTTTTGTATTATTATTGTTTTTTTAGCATTCAGTTTAATGGCTTTATTTTGAGATTTTTAACTATTTCACTTTTGATTTACTTAGCTAGCTCACCTCAGAAAACCACTATTAGAGATGATGGCGTTCCTGTTAAAGGTTGTGATGACATCCTGGTGGTTGGTCTGGCTGTATGCTGGGGTGGAAGAGATGCCTATTATTTTTCATTGCAGAAGGAACAAAAGCATCCTGGTAAGTAATCACTATTTGGCTTAATCGCCATTTAATTTTAATATAATCTCTATTAGGATAGTGACCTGTTTGTTGAGAATAATTTTCTGATACTTAAAATTTATTTTTAGGCTTAAAAATTCTTTCTGGGAGGATAGTAGCTATTGTGTACATTAGTTCATATATTAACTAGAATGAATGTCTTAAGCACCACCTTTACTCCCCTTTACTTATCACATGGCTACTGATAGTGTCTTTTCTTCTTGAAGGCAGTGGACACTTAGGGACTCCCTGGCCACCTTGAAGGTTTGTTTTTGAAGATTGGATCATAGCAGTTTCTTTTCAGACTTTTTTCATGTTATTGACTGGGTCTGGAACTTATCTAGAGACAGCGATGAGCTGAACATCTACAGCGGTTGAATCATACAGCCTTTGTAGATGTGTATGGAATTGAGAGGGTATAATTTGGAAATACCTTGTGATCTTATTACAGTTGTTACATTACCTAGCTGATAGATTGGTTTTAGACAGGAGCAAAATTAGTAAATATTTTAAAGAATGCCATATAATATCTATTCCTGAGTAAGCATGAAATATTTTCAGTTGTTTTGAGGGAAAATGTGTTATGTTAAATAGATACGTGAACTTCTGTTTTTTTTTAGATCTAACATTGTATGTTCATACTAAATTTTTTTTAAAAGTTCATTTAAAATTCATTTCAAAATACTTTTTATGTCTTTGGGGTGCCTGGGTGGCTCAGTCGTTAAGCATCTGCCTTCGGCTCGGGTCATGATCTCAGGGTCCTGGGATCGAGCCCCGCATCGGACTCCCTGCTCAGCGGGAAGCCTGCTTCTCCTTCTCCCACTCCCCCTGCTTGTGTTCCCTCTCTCATTGTGTCTCTCTCTGTCAAATAAATAAAGAAAATCTTTAAAAAAAAATACTTTTTATGTCTTTAACTCCTTACTCTGAGAAATGTAAATTTATTTTTAGAAATCTTGTTATTTAAAAATTTCACCTAATTCAATAGAGCATTATTAATTACATAGCACAAGCCTTAATTTTTAGAATATGAAGCACTTCGTCTATGTAGCCAACATGACCTGAATAAGGTTATGCTGAATTATTGGTTCCATGGAGCTAGACCCTTGGGCTTTTCAGTCTTTTCATTAAAGATTGCTGTTTCAAATGAATGCATGTAATTTTTGCCTTAAGACTTTTTGTTTGTTTGTTTTCTAAAGAAATTAGTTCCAGTTTGGTCCCACCTTCTCTGGATCCAAGCCTGACTGTGAAAGACAGAATGTGGTATCTTCTATCCTGCTTTCAAGAGGAATCTGATAAAGAATGTTCTATTATCATCTATGACTTCATCCAGAGCTATAAAATTCTTCTTCTGTCTTGTGGGATCTCCCTGGAACAAAGTTATGAAGATCCTAAGGTTTCATGTCTTATTTAATTTTTACCATACTTAAAAAAATTTTTAATGTGTAGTGTTAATTCTTAAATGACTTGGTATTTATTTAGCTCCAAGAACAAAGCCTAAATTTTTTAGAGTAGTCACTCCTTTATCTAGTAATCTCATTCACCCAGAACAGAATGTGATGCACCAAATACCTCTGTGTAGATAAAAACAGAGATTCCACAAATTTGAAGCACTGAAGTTCATACCTTCCCTCAGAGATTTAAAAATTTTTGATTTTGGTTATATTTGAAGTTTTCTGTTTCTTAGTAAATTAGAAATGAAATGAGGACTGTCAGATTTAAATATATGATAGCAGGATGTTTCAAATATCCATGAAGACAGAGGCAGAAAATAGGAAAAATGTGTAAACCTTAGACATCAAAAAGAATAGTAGTTAGGGCTATTTAGCATAGGACAGATTACCTTACTAGCCCCTGAGAACTTTGCTATTATAATAGCAAGGCATGATACACTTCTCATAATGATGATTCTGAGTTATTAAGGAAAGGGTAACTTATTGTAACATACACTTTACAGTATAATGCATTTTCATAAGACATTTATTTACAATATCATAGCTCTCAAAGGGGTATCATTTTTCCCCCTGTTGATACTGGATACATGAGGCATAATTTTGAATTGATATATGATATTACTTGGTTGTTATTCGCAATATAATCAATAATAGGATAAATTTTGGTTTCTTAGTTTCTCTAGCTTTTGGGGGGAAGGATTTTCAAAGGCAGTATCAGATAAACTGAAGATACTGTCCTTTTCTGTAGTTCAAGCTAGGCTTGGTTTACGCGTGATAAATTCCAGGTAGTTTTTAAATTGACCTTTCCTGGATATAAAAAGTTGTCACTTCATTTTGATGTTCCATACTAGTCAGTCTTCAAAAAAAAAATGAAATCTTGCCATTGCAACGATGAGGATGGAACTAGAGGGTATAAATAAGTTATATATAAGTTAAATACAAATAAGTTAATCAGAGAAAGATAGTTATCCTATGATCTCATTCACACGTGGAATTTAAGAAACAAAACAGAGGATCATAGGGGAAGAGAGGGAAAAATAAAACAATACAAAATCAGAGAGGGAGACAAACCATAAGCGACTCTTTTTTTTTTTTTTTTAAAGATTTTATTTATTTATTTGAGACAGAGAGAATGAGAGACAGAGAGCATGAGAGGGAGGAGGGTCAGAGGGAGAAGCAGACTCCCTGCCGAGCAGGGAGCCCGATGCGGGACTTGATCCCGGGACTCCAGGATCATGACCTGAGCTGAAGGCAGTCGCTTAACCAACTGAGCCACCCAGGCGCCCCAACGACTCTTAATCACAGGAAACAAACTGAGAGTTGCTGGAGGGGAGGGGGGGTGGGGGGATGGGGTAACTGGATGATGGACATTAAGGAGGGCATGTGATGTAATGAGTACTGGGTATTATATAAAACTGATGAATCACTGAACTCTACCTCTGAAACTAATAATATAGTATATGTTAATTAATTGAATTTAAATTTAAGAAAAAAACTCAAAAAAATTTTGATCTTCCAGAGTCCAAAATGAGAATACGGGTAATATGAGTTTCTCATTAAATAAAACTACTATACCATCTCAGATTTATTATAGCACTTTTTGCATAAACTACTTGAAATATTCCATAGTTGGTTTTGTCAATCATAACACTTTTGATGCAAGAAGATAAACTATTAATTTAAAAAATCTCGCTTTTATAAGAAACATTTGCCAACTTTAACATCAAATTACCTTATTCAATATTCTCTAAAAGGTTTCTGATTGCCAATTTCTAATGTGGCGGGGGGTCCCCACACCTCCAACAATTCTCTGGGTACCAGCTGATTGTCCTACAATTCAACTCAGTTCTGACACTGCCTACCCAGGTTGTTATGCTTCTGACCCACTAGCTATAAATCAAAGGTTCCCACCACCCGCTCCTTGGGTTCAGTTAACTTGCTGGAGGGGCTCACAGAACTCATGAAACCAGTTTATTCCTTAGATTACTGTTTTTGTTTTTGTTTTTTTACAAAAGATATTAAAGGATATGAATCAACAGTCAGATGAAGAGATATATAGGGCGAGGTATGTAGGAAGGGGCGTGGAGCTTCTATACCCTCTCCAAACACACCACTCTCCCTGCATTTCCATGTGTTCACCAACCTGGAAACTCTCCAAACCCTGTCTTTTGGGTTTTTATGGAACCATCATACATAAGCATGACTGATTAAATCATTGGCCATTGGTGAAACCTCCAGCCCCTCCCCCATCCCAGGAGGGGTGGGACTGAAAGTTCCAACCCTCCAATCACAGGGTTGGTTCTTCTAGCAACCATCCCCCATCCTTAGGTGACCTAGGGACATTCCAAAAGCCACCTCATTAACATAACAAAAGACACCATTTTGTCTCTCAGTTTAGCAAATTTCAAGGATTTTAGAAGTTCTGTGCTAGAAATGAGAACGAGGACCAAATACATATTTCTTGTAAGTCACAATATCACAGTCTACCCCTAGTTCAAACACGATTGTTATAACTTGATTATTATAGTAAAACAATAGTAAAAGTCAAAAGTAGTTGGCACATTACTAGAATCCCACTCAGTTATTAACTATCCAGTCCATCATCATTATCATATGAAAATGTCTCCCGGGTTTGTAGGCTTCCATTTGATCTTACCAGGTTCCAAAAGCAAGAGGGATTGTCAGCAATATATGGCTTCACCCTTTCAGGCATCTGGCATAATTGAGCTAAGAGACAATATCATCTCTTACTTAGACCTTCTTTTGAGGTGTTAATATTGGATTTTCCTCATTACATAACCCATTTATTCATTTCTTTACCCATAGCTACTATTTTTCCTTCTATGCTTTTAACCTTTATGTTATAATTCAAAAGGGCCTGATGGGGCAAGATGTGCCTTCACCCCTTCTGGCATGATTATAGTTTCTTGCTTAGGAATCATCCATTTCCATCCCTTATACTTGTAGTCCTGGTCCTGTGACCCCTGCATCAGCTAGGAGGAAAAAAGTTGAGGTGATGTGGGAAAGAAAGTATACCAGCATCTTTCCCATCCTTACTTCCCCAGATCCAAACAGAGAAATATATCCAGTGGTGACACTCCTTTAGCCCCCCTCATGTTCATGTTGAGTGGGAGCACATACTCATGAAGACATATAAGCCAGCCCTTGCTGCCTTTATCTATTTTTAGACAACCTATGTTTTAATTGCCCATTCCAATTCTCTATCAAACTAGTACTGAGGATATCTCTTTGCCCCTTGTTGAACATTATGGGCTATAAAGTGTGTTCTTTGGTCTGAAGAAATGATGGTCAGCCATCCAAACTGGTGCAGTATCTTCTGTTCTGGTTCTTTTATAGCAGTCAGAGCATTTGTATCTACAATCAGGTAAGCAAAGCATGGTCCAGAGTCAATGTCTGTTCCTATCTGGACCCATTTGTACCTCCCTAAGGCTACTAGCATTAGTCTCACCTGCCAGCTATATTCCTGGCCTTCCTACCGGGTAATCTGCCAAATAACCATCTGCAGTCTCTGACTCTCTTGTAGACAGATATAGTTCATTTTAGCCTTCTGTGCCTCAGAGGGTATAAGAGGAATATGTCTAAATTCAGCCTGTTTCTGCATTAGTACAGCGAACCATGTCCCCTCATTCATGGGCCCAGGTGACCATCTCAAAGGGGCATGCAGGGACATCTGCTTGATAATTCTAGTCACCTTCCAAACCTAGAAGGGAGTTCTTTTGAAAGGCATTAATGTGTCCTACTTTAATGCACCCCTTCAAATTTCTGTAGGACTGTGTCCTCTAGGAGCATCCCTTTAGCAGGCCAGGTCTCCATTGCCATCCTGACTGACATTTTGGCCAGGCTATCTGGCATTATTTATCAGCAAGTGAAGACCCAAACATAGGGCCTTTTTCCAGCTGTTCAGTTCTTTCATCACTGCTAGGAGAACAGCATGCAATTCAGCACACCAAGATCATCTGTTTCTATCTTCTTTGAATAGAATGACGACTTTCCAAAACAAGGTATTGTTCATTCACTTCGGAACTGCCATCCACAAACCTAGCAGCTTTTTGTCAGTCAGTCAGCTGTTTATAGAGTACTGTCCAAGTGACAATAGAATCCAGCAGCAGCTCCTCACACAATTCCAGAGTCAAGCCTAAGAGAAAAGAGGCTCCCTGCTCTTGAGCATCTCTTCTTTGTGTTCCCCAGGCAGCATGATCCTGTATAACCTGTTTCCATTTTATTATGTAACTCTCCTGGGCACTGCCAACTCCATTAGAGCATTTCTCAGATATCACCTGTGTTGGATGGGTATTTCAGGTTTCTAGATCATGTTATATCCTTTAGTCATAAGAATAACTTCAATTAATAATGTCAGATAGCAAGGCCATAAATACCCTCAAATGGAAATTCTCTTGTTTAAAGTCCCAGTTGTCATTGTTGGGAGGTGTTCACAAGCTCTTGCCATTAGCCCAGTCTCCACAAAGGGCTATTGCACAAAGAATTTGTCGCTATCAGCCCTTGAGCTTCATTCCACACTGCGGGGCAGTGGGAGAGGGAGAAGCAGACTCCCTGCTGAGCAGGGAGCCAGGGCTCCATCCCAGGACCCCAGGATCATGACCTGAGCTGAAGGCAGATGCTTGACTGACTGAGCTACCCAGGAGCCTGAAGGAGACACAACTTCTTTACATAATACCTGCTTTAACATTCCAGTTTACATAATCCTATCAACCATTACATTTTTACAGTTCTCTTATTCTAATTGTAGCCCAAGTCAGGGCTTTACCTATGGGTTTTAGTACCACCGTTCCTAGATCTCTCTCTTCCAGGAGTCCAGGAAACTTCTCTTTTCCACCCCCTGACAGTTTTACCTACTCTTGTCTGAAAGACTTTTTGGGTCCCCAGGAAGGCGTTGAGTGAAGGGACCCCAGCCCTTTTATCAGTCTTTAACTTGATTAATCTGCCTAACCACTGATTGCTGGTCAGGTTTCTCATTGTAACTTACGTCTTTGAGCTTTTTAAATTTCTCCATATTATGGTAAATAGAGCAGTCTTGTTTGGGGCCCTTTAATGGGGGTTGCTTTGACCCACCCAACCTTTGCTGATGCTTTATTAAAAATTTTTTTTAATCCATCAACACCCATTTTATTCATCACATTTCTTACTAACCATCTAAAAATTTCCATCCTGCTGAGGTGAGTCCTGAGACTCTTCCCTTTCTGTTTCCTCTTTCTCTTGTTATTTCTCTTGAATATTTGCTTCATATTCACCTTATTCCTTAACCTTTTAAAAATTTCCACCTTGTTGGGAAGTCTCTTGACCTCCCCCTGCCTCTTCCCATTCTCTTGTCAATAAACCTAATGTTTTTATTACCATCTCTAAGACCTATGAGAAGAAGCTGAGAAGGCAAATTTGATGAGGCTTTCCAAACAGTCCCTCAGTTTTGCAACAGTAGGGTTATATGGGGTACCTGTGTGAAAGGGGCCACCTTAAACCACAGCATTTACTATGACCTGAGTAGTGGTTAGATTTCAGCAGATAAATATCTCAGTTATCATAAAGCAGTCCCATATGGCTTGCATATGAAGAATATCAGCTGTTTCATCTAGGGTGTTCCACTTGGCATTTATAAGAGAAGAGGGACAGTCCCCCTCTCAGGCTAAACAGACTTGATAATGGCTTTTATCCAGTGCACCAGGCTAGCTCTTCCCATAGGAATAACCTCCTGTGTGTCTGGATCACATACACTCAATTTTGATTGTACCGTGGTGAGCTCTGGGTCCTACATCAACCCTCTGCTCTTCCATCCTGCAGCACCCCAAACCAAACAATCCTCCTAAATCACTCTCATAATCCATTTTAGTTAAGGTTCCACAAGAAGCTGATGATACTGATCCACAAAATGAAACAACTCTGTCACACTATACCCCCTGGTTTTGATAGTTTCTAGGTATTGTGCTCCTACACTGATTACCTTATTGGTGACCAGAGGTCTTACGGGTGCTTTGTGTTGCCCCTGCACTGTTGACTTTGAGGCTAGTGGCTAAAGCTCAGACCGACTCAAATCTGAGTTTGGTTTACCATCAAAGCCAGACCCAACACTTTCCTTTACTTTTATTTAGCTATCACAGATAGCAGTAACCAAGAGATTGTATGTTTAGTGTGCTTACTGTTTTTCATTTACTTATATATCCAATGAGCCAACTCCTCAGGAGTTAGGTCTGCCATTTCTAAATTAAATTAGTGACTTTTACCCTTAGTAACTGTAGTGTAGCTACAGTTTCATACATGGGTCACTAGGTAGCCATCCAGGGATCAAAGGGTCATCATCCCCCACCCTTTTATCCTTTCTTGTTGTAAGCCATATGTTTCTGTGAGCCAGGCCCTTTCTAGCAAGACCCATTTCTCTGACACCAAGTAAAATTGTTCTGAGACCAATTCTGATATGTTTGTAGGGTTTCTCCCAGTAGTGCTGGAAACACCAGATGGGTTTCCTACAATTCAACTCAATTCTGACACTACCTCTCTGGAGGGTCAGTGCCACAGTACTACCTGCTCTTTTGAGGCCAGCATCAAGCCCAAGTTAACACCTGTGCTTCTGACCAACTGAATATAGACTAGAGAGTCCAAGCACCTCCTTCCAAGGACATCTGGCAAGGATGTCTGATGCCAGTTCTAAGTCGAGGTTCTTACCTGTATTTCTGACTGACTGACTATAAATGAGAGGTTCCTTCAGATTCAATTAATCAGGTGGAGGAGAGCTTCCATGCTCAGTCTAGGCACACTACTCTTGCCAGCACCTCTGTGTTCACCAACCTCGAAGCTCTCCAAGCCCTGTCATTTTGGGTTTTTATGGAGCCTTCATTACATAGGCACAACTGATTAAATCATTGGTCATAGGTGATCAATTCAACCTCCAGGCACCTCCCAGCAGGTCAAGGGACAGGACTGAAAGTTCCAACCCTCCAATCACAGAGTTGGTTCCTCGGGCAGCCAACCCCCATCCTTAGGTAACCTTGGGGCATTCCCAAAGTCACCTCATTAACATAACAAAAGGTGACTTTATCTCTCAGTTTAGGAAATTTCAAGGGTTTTAGAAGTTCTCTGCTAGAAATGGGGACAAAGACCCAATTTATATTTCTTATTACAATTCACAATGTCATACTCCCCTATCAAACTATATTCTTAACCTATAGAAGAAGTAATTGAGTCATGTAATTGTCAGAATTATGAACAGGGCTTAGATTTCCTTATTCTAATTTAGTTTTGGTCTGCTAGATCACCTAGTGTTAGAAACTACAGGAGACAAACCATAAGAGACTCTTAATCATAGGAAATAAACTGGGGGTTGCTGGGGGTGGGGATGGGGTAACTGGGTGATGGACATTAAGGAGGGCACGTGATGTAATGAGTACTGGGTGTTATATAAGACTGATGAATCACAGACCTGTACACACACACACACACACACACACAAAAGAAACTACAGGTCTTCCAATCTGGCAGGGGAACTAAAAATAGCAATCAAATGATTTGTTGGATGGCCCTGTTGGCAGGCCCTTATCCTGAGGGGAAAGCCTGGAGGCTTTCTAAAACTTTGGGTATAAACTTTTAATGGTAAAACATTTGTGTCTCACTTATGATGTCGAGAGAATTTTTAAAAACCTAAAACTTGGCTTTATTATAGTAGCTTAGCCCAAATCAGCCTCAGTGGAGAAGATTCCATCTGCATTTTCAGAAATATGATTTTAATTATCTGAGAGGCACTTGGATTTCAAGGCTATTTCAGAACCAGATAAGCAGGAATGTGGTAGTAATGGAAAAGTTGTAAGTTTTCCTTTTTTGAAAGCTGCTCTCACTAGTACCAAAAATGAGTCCTGGTACAATTTACAGTTATCCTTTCCTTCTTCTCTCCAGGGAAGACCACTGAATTAGTATTAAGTGAAAAGGAGTGAGATCAGAAATGAACATTTTCCCCTTTTAAGTGTGCACAAATGTCTTTGAACCCATTTAGGTGGCGTGCTGGTTACTAGATCCAGATTCTAAGGAGCCAACTCTTCACAGCATAGTTTCCAGTTTTCTTCCTCATGAGCTTCCCCTCCTGGAAGGGATAGAGACTGGACAAGGAATTCAGAGTCTGGGGCTGAATGTCAACACTGAACATTCCGGGCGATACAGAGCATCTGTAGAGTCGATTCTCACCTTCAACGCTATGAGTCAACTCAGTTCTTTGTTGAAGAAGGAAAACCTTCAAGGTAAAAACAACCTTGCCAGCATTTTCATGCTGTTACAGACTGGTGACAGTTCTGTTTTTAAGCCACTTTTTATCACAGTTCTTTATCACTCTTTATCATACTTCTAACACAAACTCTATTTTTGGATTATCTAGGACAGGGGTCAACAAACATTCTGTAAAAGGCCAGATATTAAGTGTTTTTGACTTTGTGGCCCTGGTGGTCTCAATCGTAAATATTCAAGTCTGCCATCATAGCAAAAGAGCAGCCATAGACAATATGAAAATGAGTGTTCCAATAAAACTTTATTTATAGAAACAGGCTTCTGGCCCTGGTTTTGCTCTAGTTTGCAGACCTCAGACTCTAATGAAGAGAATTTGTGGCATTTTATCATTTATTGCTAATTTTATATTTGAACTTTATCCAATGATTTTTATTCACACTTAAAACCTAATCTGTTGAGGGGGGAAAAGATGGGGGAGGAATAGGGGACCCTATTCCAATCAGTCCCCAGAATTGAGCTGGATATCTACAAGACCACTCTGAACACCCACAAAATCAGCCTGAGATGTAAGACGACAGAGCTGGATCTCTACAAACAGAATATCTCGGTTGGTTTCGAGGTACAAAGCAGGGAGCCATGATTCTGTGGGCAGATATCGGAGGATAAATGGCAGAGGGAGGGATCCTGACCATGGGGATACTACACCGCCAGTGAGCAATAGCCTCCCACACTGGGGACGGGGCACAGACTCGCAGACCGGTAGCAGCGAGGAAAGGACTTTAGGGCAGCCCTCCAGACGAGAACCGGAGTGGCAGGGCCGTGCCTGTGAACTGGGGGCAGCTGGCGGTTTTAGAAGCACAAAGGGCAGAGACGTGCCCCCGTTCCCCAACCTGGAGGCGAGGACTGGGAGCCCTGCTGAGGGGCACACAACCCAGGATGCACAGTTTATAGCAGCACAGACAGAAACGGAGATAGTGTGGCCGGAGAGCTCACTGAAGAACAGACTGATCTCTCTGCTCTGAGGCAGAGGGTTGGAAACGGTCTCTTCTGCTCTGACTCTTGGAAGAGACATGGAAAGCTGCCAGGGAAAGCCGCCAGAGAACAAAAGCCCCAAAAAACCAGTTTTCACTGAGCCCATCCCCCGCCACAGGGGGCAGGGCAACTCTGCCCAAACAGGGTTGCCTGAGTAACAGTGCTGCAGGCCCTTCCCCCAGAAGACAGGCTGGGAAAACAAGAGGCCAGAATGTACCTAAGGTACCTAGAAAACAGGTGCATCTTGCTTGGGTTGTGGTCAATAATTTGGACTCTATACATTCTCTCAACCACCCAAAACAGAATGACTAGGAGGAGGAACCCCCAAAATAGAAAAGACTCAGAGTTTATGACTTATGCCACAGATTTACAAATGGATTCAGATATAACCAAGATGTCAGAGATGGAATTCAAGCTAGCAATTGTGAAGACAATACTAGAATGAAGAAATCAATTAAAGGCAACATAGAGTCTCTAAGGGCAGAAATAAAACCTGATTGGCAGAACTTAAAAATGCTATCAATGAGATCCAGTCTAATCTAGATAATCTAACAATTAGGGTAAGGGAGGCAGAAGAACAAATTAGTGACCTGGAAGACCATTTAATAGATAAAAAGGGAAAAGAGGAGGTCAGGGAAAAACAACTCAGAATCCATGAAAATAGAATCAGAGAAATAAGTGACACCATGAAGCGTTCCAATGTCAGAATTATTGGGATCCCTGAGGGGTGGAGAGAGAGAGAGGACTAGAAGAT